TAATAAGAGCCCCATCTACCCCATATGGGGGACTGTAATATCTGTCCCCCAAACGGCCACACGGTAGGTTCCCTGTGTGGTAGGTCTTTTTTGAGGAAGTGTATTTGCAATGGTCCCTTCTTTGCAGGGACCTTTGGAACTTTAGAACAACCCCCTGCCTGAATTTTTTGAACCAACCCAACCCTAAACCCTAAACCCTAAACCCCGACTTGGGTTAGCACGGAAGGTAGGAATGGACAAGAACATGAAAATCACTACTGGCTGTAGGGATGAGGTTCAGGATTATTTAGGTTAGTTGTGAACAGGCACTCTTAGAATGTTTGTTGTGGGAGATTCCCTAGGGGCTACTGTTTACAGGGATTCCTTCCTTTATTCCCGACTGAGCCCTAAATCCTAAACCCCAAACAAGACATCCCAAGCAGCACGTTGTGTCGTTGCTCTGCAATTGCCCAATCCCCAACTATGCCCCTAAACTGAAAACCCTAAACCCTATTTAAACCCTAAACCTATGAGAAACAGGATCCATCCTGGAGCCTTGGGACGTTCCGTTTCTTCTACACCGCTGCAAAGAAAAGCGGCAGGAGGCGGATCAAATCTCCACCTACCTGACCTACGGCTCCCTGATGGCCGGAGTGGAGCTGGTCCTCTCACGGCTTTTAGGCCTAGCATTTGTCCAGGCAGGAATGGTCCCCTATATAATACCCTATATAGCATAGCTCCCCCCCTTCAAGGAGCTTAGATTGTGTGAATATCAGGGTGGGGTTCTCCCAGCCCGTCGGATGATTCACAAGCCCCAAAAGTCGCCCCATACTTGTCAGGGGTCCTACTTAGGCACCGTAATCCCATGAAAGACCTACGGAGCCGACCCTCTTCAGGAAGACCCTGATCCTGGAGAAGTCTGGCACCCATCTGTGCAAAAGTTTGCTCTTCGGGATGCGGAAAGGACGATTGGCATTTTGTACCTGGATCCCTTCCCACGCCCCGGCAAGAAGGTCCAGTCTGCACAATTCACCCTTCAAGGGTCAAAGATGTTGGCAGATGGACAGCTTCAAGTGCCCAAAACCTGTTTGGTTTATGCGCTTCCCCCTGGCTCCCAATGCCTCTCCACGAGTTTTGCAGTGACCTTTATGCACGAGATTGGGCACGCGGTGCACTCACTGCTTTCTGAGACTCATTTCCAGCATTTGTCCGGGACCCGTGGCACCATCGATTTTGTTGTAGCCTGGCTGCAAAGAGAAGTCAACATGCATTTTCCGCTTTCTTGGAGGAGTAGAACTTCGTTTGTTTGACCACCCAAACCAATCTGAGTACATGCAGTAGAATTCTCTTACAAGCGGGGAAGTGTGCTTAGGGATAAAACTAAGCGATGGGTGGTGTTTGAGGCCACCAGGACGATTTGAAACCTTAATTCTAAAGTGCCTTAGATCCTCAACTCCAAGCCGTGAAGCAACCCTCAACCCCGAAGGTTAGGCCCAGCCCTTCAAATTAGCTCCTAGGCCCTCCTCGAACCCTCAACTGTGAACCTCAAGAATTGAAGCCCTGAGTTACCTCAGATCTTACAACCTCCAACCCGAAGCCGATCCCAGGAGTTTCAATTTCATTTGCTGGGTGACAGGGGGGGGCTCGTAAGGGAACATACAAACATACCCGAGCTTGGAACCCTGGGTTGTGACAGTGGGATTTAATTTGGGTTCTTGTTTACTGGTCAAGTATCCTAGGGGCCCATACTTATAATCCAGGGAACATGTAGGGGCCCATGTTAGGGGCCCACAGCCAAGACTTGATATCGTTTTTCGGCAGAAGGAGCCCTATGTCCACGGTATTCCTGCAATGATAATGACACTGCAGTCATCCAGGAGTTTCCATCTCATTTGTTTGAGCACTTCGTGTTGGATCCCGACTGCCTGGCCACGTATGCCTCCCACTCAACGACAGGCCGCGGGATTTCGTCGATGCTCATGGGGGGTAAGAATCGTCATAGGGACCTTTCTGGAGTTTTTAGCGGGATAGAAGGATTATGAAGCTTTTGAGGAAGTGTTTTCGGTTGTAGGGGGTGGGTGTAGGGTTCAAGACTTGGTTTCGTCTTTGAAGCTTTCGAATGTCTAGGAGCACCAGCAAACTTTCCAACGGAAGCTTACAAGGCCTCCCGTACATTTCTGTGCTAAGGCGATCGTGCATGTAAGTGATACGTACATAACATCACAGCTCAACTGGGCCCTAAATCCTAAGTCTGCGAGGCGCCAGATTGCCTCAGAACCTGCGGGACGCTCATTGCCACCGTCCCTTCGGGCACTTTGAGGCTGTCCAGCAGCTGACCTATGCTTCTTGTCTCTCACTAGAGCTAGGTGGGCGATCTACAGGGGCGTACGGTGGTTGCAGAGGAGTATCACGGGGATTTCATTGGGGTTCCTCACATTGCGGTTCGGTTCTTGTGTTTTGGACACTGTTGAGAAGCGCATGCGGAGAAGACATGACCCAACTCTCTATGGATTGCCATGTGCCAGCAGGCTTTTCGTGCTTCACAGGCGAAGGCATACTCCAGGAGCTCTTGAAATGCGCATCACCTTCTGCACGTGGGTAGTTTCCAAAATTGGTCCCATCTTTGCACGTGAGCACCGTGATGGCAATGAAAGAAGACGCTATGCAGCAGAACATGATTGTTACACAGCTACCATAGGGCGCAGCTATACCATTGTCGCATTGACTGTTCCAAATCACGCCAGGCTGCAAAATATCAGCAGTAAACAGACCCCATATTTTGGATATTTCCTGCAAGAGACTTTATGCATACATATGCATATGTATACGTATACGTATATGTATATGCATGTGTATGTGTATGTGTAGATGTGTATTTACGTATATGTATATGTGTATGTATATGCAGAAGTATATGTATACTCTCAACCCCCAAACCTAAAACCCGAAATTAGAGGATTGGACCATGCAGCCGAGGCTTTAGTGGACCAGGCTTTCTATTCCTTCCATCCTTCGCCTGAGAAAGATTTGCAGACCCATCTCCACAGCATGCCGCAGCCTTACATGTCTGCCCGAAAGGTTTTTGTCGTGTCAAGTGGATACTACATGACTACATGACCGTAAGTGGCTTTTGCCTTGGGAATTATGGTATTGTAGTATGCTATGGCCATGCAGGATTTATAGTATCCACAGTATTGCATCAAATGTTTATCTTGGCTTGTGTGCTTGAATTAGCAGTTCTGACCTAGCTCAGGCTCGGGAGCTTTGAGCAGGGCCTGGACACTTGCTGCCAGATTTGCTGGAGTGTTCCCTGACCTTGCAAGAGTGCACCACAGCATGCTTTTGGGCTGGACAGGACGGGCCCTCCAATGCATCGCTTCTTGAATTGTGGGGTGCCCAGAGGCAATAACCCCATTGGGCGACAGCTGCAGCAACTGGCGTAAGGTTGGGCTTGTCTACAGCAACTGCGCGCTTTGACCACTTGGTTCACTACGGAGGTTCGTACTACTGCTATCTTTTCAATCGGGCTGCATCCTCAGTGAAGGCCTGGGACAGAAAGATCCAGTGATCCTCGCGCTCCTGAGGCCCTTTCGGCGCATGTTTGGCAGCAAAGCTTTCGACCAGATCCTTTCAACCGTGAGACTGGGGAGAGGCTGCACAGCCCTGAGCTCAGAAATGGGCTTATGTTGGGGATAACAGACCCCAATAAGTGGTTATATTGGGATAGTGGAAAAGAAAATGGAAACTACTATAGTATATTGGGTGTATATGGGGAATAATGGACAAGAAAATGGAAACTACTAGACTATATTGGGTGTATATTGGAATACTGGAAAAGAAAATGGAAACTACTACAGTATATTTTCTCCAGACGCCAGCACTCTGGGCCTCATGAACAGTACAGTACCCCCGTAGAAATGGAATCATGGTTTTAAGCCACATTAACTTCAGAAGCCAGAGTGATCCCTAAACCCCTAAACCCTATAAAAGCAAGCAGTGGCTAACCCCG